TTAAATAAAAATTTATAACTTACCGACTATAATAAATTTTAAATAATATAATTAATTTATATGTAAGTATTATGCAAATATGTAATTTATAAAAGTAACAAATAAATAATTTCTAACTTACTAGCTATAATAAACCACCAAATTTAAAGAATTTAGTTAGTTTAATTTAATATATATATATAAGTATAAAAATAAAAATAATGTGAACTTACTAACTGTAATAAATTAATACCATAAATTTAATTGAAGAATTTAGTTTGTTTGATTGTTTTTATATAAAAGTCTAATAATAAAATTAAATAAGTAATTTATGGTGGCTTACCCCCTACAATAAAAATAATTTTATAAAAAAAGAATTTAGATAGTTTAAACTTTAAACTATAATAATTATTATATAAATATATAATAATAAGGTTAAATAAATTTACTTACAACCTAAAATAAATTATCAAGTTTAGTTGCCTTAATTGTATATAAATATCATATAAAAGTATAATAATAAAATTAAATAAATAATTTATGGCTTACAACCTATAATAAATTATCAAATAATTTCACAAATAAGAAATTTTGTTAGTTTAAACTAAGTAATTATTATATAGGTATATAACAATAGGATTAAAGAATAACTTACGATCTAAAATAAATTAACAAATAAAAATTTAGTTCGTTTATGTACTAATTGTTATAATAATTAATAATAAATATAAACAAATAATTTATAACATACCATCTATAATAAATTACCAAATATATAATATTATAAATAAGTGAATTTAATTAGATTAAATCATATATTAGCATTATACAAGCTCTAAATATGTCTTATCAGGTTGAGACTAAAATATTGGGTTATAGGTTAAACCAAGTTTATCACAAATAAATAAATTACTTACTTCCTACATTAATAAATAATTTTAAAGAATTTTGTTAATTTAAATTGTGTATAGATATTATAACAAATGCATAAAAATAAAAAAAATAAGCAACTTACTCTCTATTTATTAGATAATTAATCAAGTAAATAATTCAGTTAGTTTAAAAGCTTATATTATACTGCTATAATAAAAATATGTAGCAATTAGACTAAATAACTTATAACTCACTTGTTAGGCCTATTAAATAATTTTTTTCAATAAAAATTTGGTTAATTAAATTATATGTAAATATCTTATAATAAAATTAAATGAGTAATTACGTACTATATTATTAAATAAATATTTGATAAAAAATTTGATTGATTAATATTATGTATGTTATATAAATATGCAATAATAAAATTAAATAAATAACTTACTTTTTCCTAATTTTTAATAAGAAAATTGTTAATTTTAAATTATTATATACATGGATATAATATAAAGATGTAATAATGAAATTAAGTAAGACTTACTTCCTACTATATTATTCGATAATTTTTTAAATAGAGAATTTAGTTCATATATATTGTATAAATATATGATAATGGAATTTAAAACTTACTCCCTATATCATTGGATAATTTTTAATTAAGGAATTTGGTAATTTAGATTATGTATATAATTGTATAAAATAATTGAATAAACAATTTACTTTCTACATTAAAGAATTTTTAAATAAGACTTACTTCCTATTTTATTAAATAATTTTCAAATGTTAGTTTAAATCATATTGATAAAATTGAATAAATAAATTGTGACTTACCAACTATAATAAATTATCAAATAATTTTAAATTATAGAGTTAATATATAAATTATATAAATATGCAATAATAAAATTAAATAAATAATTTGTAACTTACAGTCTAAATCAAATTACCAAAATAATTTTATATAAATATTATATAAATATGTAATAATAAAATTAAATAAATAGTAATTTATGACTTACAACCTAAAATAATTTACCAAATTAATTTTTTATTAGTTAGTTATATGTGAATATTATAATATTAGAGTAAAATAAATAACTCACTCTCTACATTATTAGATAATTTTTTTTGAATGAAAGAATTCAGTTAGTTTAAGTTATTTACAATATATGTGGTAGAATCAAATAAATAACTTACTCTCTATAATATTTCAATATTTTTTTTAAAATTTGGTTAATTTAAGTTATTTAAGTATATAATAATAGAATTAAATAAATAACTTATAACTTACTCTCTACATTATTAAATAATTCATTTTTAAATAAAAAACTTAGTTAGTATACAATATAGACTGAATATTGTATATAATAGAATTATGTAACTTACCAACTAAGTATTTACCAAATAATTTTGATTAAAAATTTAGTTAAATATATAAATAATAATAAAAGCATAAACAACCTATAACTTACACCCTATAATATTATTGATCGTTAATTAACTAGACGTAAATATTATTATAAAAGTATATATAATTAAATTATAACTTACAATCTAATTTTAAATAAAAAATCAAATTAGTTTGAATTAAACGTGGATATTATATAAATAAAATACACATGAGTATAATATATCCTACCTTCTATAATATCATTAATCATTTAATGATTATTTGAACATGAAAGTTAATTATTTCATTTGAATATCATATAAAATGCATTAAAAAAATAAATAACTAATAACTTACTAACTATAATTTTAAATTATTTAGTCATAAATATAAAAAATATTGTAAGTAATTCAACTATTATTCAAATTGTAAGATGACCAATTATTGACTTACGAGCTAAAATATTTAAATAAAAATAAGTTAGTTCCTATTATTTGTGTATATCACATAGAATTAAGAAACTTTTAATTCATAAATATATTTGAATTACAGCTTGTATAGCAAATTATATTTACCTTCAGATTCCATAGCGCCGCTTGAATCTAGTTTTATTATAATATTGCAAATTTATTACAAAATTTTAAAATAATTATATAATTCTAATTTGTATTATACATTCATGTTATATTCTTTTACCTTCATCATTTCTATGAGCCATTATTATATATTTCTTTCTAAAAGAAAGCGTATATTTATTAAACGAATATGAATATGGGTATTTATATAGTTATTTGGGATAGTTATTTGGGTAGTACCAAGTATTCAGGTTACAGGGTTACAGCCAGATTTACTTAATACAGTAAGAATGTATTACAAACAAGTGCAATTATGTTGATCAACAATCAACACAAAAAATTGCATTGCGTGACAAAAAAAAAAAAAATAACATGAAGCTTTGGTATGCTAAGTTTTATTGAAATCTTCAAAACATAAAACCATCAATACTATTTCTAAATGGGTCACTTCTCATTGGTTGTAAATTAAATTTCGATTATTAAATTTAAATGATAATTTCATAATTATTTGATATCTATGGTTTTAGAATTAAGTGAACGAAAAATAATTAACTATTTAAACGGGTTCTTACAGATTATCATAAGGTATGTAGTACTGTATTTTCAGTAGGCAGAAAACAAAAAAAATAGCAATCCAGTTATTTTAATAATACAGAGAATCAAAATTTGTGATATAAGAACTGAAGTAAAATTATTAAGTTATTTTGTTTTTTATTTATTTTTTTTTGCAAACAGGAACATACTGTATATATCATGTATTTTATTATTTAAATTTATATAGAATTTCATTATTAAAAAATTTTTACCTTTATAAAATAATAATATTAAGAAGGCACATAATTGAAATTAATATATTCCAGCTACGGATCGTCCTTTGTCGTCGATGATCCATTAAATGACTTTTTCTGTCGATCAAAAATTTTCAAGTTGAAAAAAAAAGAAGAGTTATATGTGTTTGTTTGTTCTATTTACAAAATTACCCGACGAAAATCTATATAAAGTATAATAAAGGAATGACAACATCTGGATGCAATAATGAGCGAAGAAGAAGTTCGGAAAAACAAAAGGAACAAAAAGGGATACAAGATCAGCAAGTGTAACAAATATCAGATCTATCTAAAGTTTTTACGAAGTAAGAAGGCGATTTTTGGCTTGTAGTGTTTAACTTGGTGAGAAAAATTTCGATTTTCGTAGTTTACTGTGGGTGGCGCAGCAAAGAAAGAGAAGTTCAACATGGCGGCAAAACCAAAAAAGAAGGTTGTATGGATAGAAGAACGAATTAAATTTTAGAAAATGAGGTTCATCGATATTTTTAACAAAGTTATATTAAGTTTATCAAACAGTTTAGAAGCTTAAAAATATTCTCTATTTTAGCTATTGAAGAGGTTTTCGAAGTAGACGGAGACAAAAATTTAGCTGACGATCTGCGGCGGACACGAGAATTTCGAAGATCGAATTTTGTAGATCGGTGTTCGCCTTGCTTATGGAGCCTGTATGGAAACGACGGTTAAAGGTCATGCGACCAAGTCATTTCTGTATATTTGGTAATTACATTGATTGTTTTAGCGTTTAGGTTAGTTGAAAAAGGCCGAGTAGTTATTTGGTACGTGGTGTTAGCCTAGTCTGTTTATTTAATTGGAATGTGGTTTAGTTAGTTTTGTTTGGATAAAGTTTTTAGCCACGAAAGTGGTACTTTATCACATGAATGATTTGTCTTCTTACGTCAAAGTCATTGGGATCAATGTTCCATTTTTCCCCGGTGAAAGAAATATAAGTTCGCCGTAAATATTAATAATTTTCTATTTTTTAAAAAAAAATTTATAAATAATTCAAAGATAATTTATTATTTTTCCAAAATTATTTAAAAAAAAAATTTTAAAAGAACAGACTTTTTGCTGTGCCTCGATATTCTTAAAATTATCTTTACGACATTAAAACCTAAATGGACTGGCACAGATAGAATCATAACAATCAGGATTGCCAAAGAATGCACAAGAGCAAGTCGAATTTATTGAAATTAATAAAACATTTTTCTGAAGGTTGACTCACCAACCATTTATTTTCCCGTTCGTAAATAAATATTACTGCGGTACTGCAGAATGCTGCCGCAGGAAATTAATGTAAATCATCTAAACTATAATTGGTGATCAACTACTGTCGTACTACATTCGCTCAAATGAAATATGCTGTGGCTGAGAAAATCATTTCATTATATATTTACTTTTCCGATACTTCTATAGAAAAATAATAAAACAAAAATAAAAATACAATAGAATAGAATGACCGATAACATTGAAATGAATCCAAATGAATGGACTAACTGGATTAAAGAGGCTATTTCTAAAAAACATATTAAATATTATGAATATAAGGATTTTCATAATATTGAAATTAACAGTTATGACTTTGGGAATGTTTATCGTGTAAATTGGAAAAATTCGAAACAGTATTTTTCATTAAAATCGTTTAATCTTGACAACATAACTGTAAAAGAAATTATACGTGAGGTAATTTACAGTAGCGTAAGTAAAATTTATCTTGGTTTACAATATTAATATTTACGTCGTTATATTTTAAAAATTTAGTTTGAACTGCGTCGTAAAGTCAATTTTCACGAAAATATTGTTCAATTTTTTGGAATAACGAATAAAGGTATAATAAGATATATATATAAATATTTGTTTTTTTTTATTCATATAAAATGCGTTAATAATTTTAATTATTACTTTTTAATTAGAAAGTCAAAATATTCAATTAAGACAGTATTTATTAGTAATGGAATATTTTAATGGCGGTTCTCTTCGAAATTATTTGGAAGAAAAGTTTAAGGATCTTACTTGGGAAAATAAATATAAGTTAGCACATCAGTTATCTAGTGCCGTATCACACTTACATGAAAAAGGAATTGTTCATTGTGATCTGGTAAGTAATTAACCATAAGTTATTCAGAACTTTCAATAATCTTAATATTTACTCAAATTTTGTTTAAAATATATAAAAATAGCACACAAATAATATATTTGTTCATCAAGATACTATAAAATTGGCGGATTTTGGTTTATCGAAAAGAATCAAAGGGGCATCTAAACAACAATCAGACTTATTTGGTGTTGTTCCTTATATTGACCCACAATGGTTAAATTGCCGTAATAATTTAGTACAAGAAGATTCATTAAATGAAAAGAGCGATGTTTACAGTATTGGAGTGATACTATGGGAAATATCAAGTGGTCAACCACCATTTAAAGATAAATCATATGATGCAGATTTAGTAATGAAAATTTTACAAGGTCGTAGAGAAACGATGGTTCCAGATACTCCTACTGATTATTTTAATATTTATACTGGTAAATGAAATTTTTAATTTTAATTTTGTAATTTGTGTTTTATAAAGTCTTATTTTTTTTGTTTCTTGTTTAGAATGTTGGGATAGCAAACCAAATAATAGGCCGACTATGGATCAAGTAGTTTTTAAATTGAATGCAATTATCAACACAAAAAATAGTATAATAATAGATAATAATAAATTAATTCCTCAATCATCAGAGAATTCTGATAATATTGGTATTTCAAATATTATTAATTTATCGCATGAAGAATTATCATCTATTATGAGAAGTTTTAATAATATGAATGTAAAAGAAATGGAACCTACAACACTAAATATTCATGAAAATATTTTTGAAGAAGACTTGAGCATTATAATTGATGAATTGGTCGATCTTTATTTTAGAGAATTAAATAAAGGGAAGGAAAATAATGTAAGAATGCAATGCGTTTTTGATTATGTTAGTAATCACAAGATAGATTTACATGAAATTTATAATTGGCTTTTAAATAATCAATATCATTCAAATTCTATTTATTTACTTGGATATTTTAATTATCGTGGAATCGAAACTAATATTAACAAGCAAAAAGCGTTTGAATTATATAAAAAAGCAGCAGAATCAGGAAGTAGTGTGGCTCAATTTGAACTTGCTTATATGTATATTTATGAAAAAGATATTGATAAAGATTATGATAAAGCATTTGAATTATCTAAAAAATTAGTAACAAAAGAATATTCAAGTGGAATTAATCTGTTGGGTTATTGTTATGAGTGTGGATTTGGAACTTGCATTAATATGCCAAAGGCATTTGAATTATATCAAAAGGCTGCAAATTTAGGAAATCTTAGATCTCAATTTAATCTCGCCTTGATGTATATATACGGAAAGGGTATCGAAAAAGATTACTTTAAGGCGTATGAATTATTTGAGAAATCAGCGGCAGGAGATTATTCACATGGAATATGTATGCTAGGATATTGTTGTGATCTTGGGTTTGGAACTAGTACTAATAAACAAAAAGCATTTGAATTATATCAGAAAGCAGCAATTTTAGGAAATCGTATAGCTCAATATAATCTTGCTATGATGTATGAAAAAGGAAGTGGAATTAAAAAAAATTTGTATCAAGCAATTTATTGGTACAAAAAATCCGCTGAACAGGGATATCAAAATGCTCAAATTAGATTATCAAGGTACTTATAAAAAAATACATTTATATATTACGGATTTTATTTATTAGAATTATATGAATTGTATTGTAAGTTTTAAATTTTGTATAAAATATGTATTTACATTAGAAAGTATTATGAATAAAGTTTAACTTTTTTTTATCACCTTTAACATTTTTTAAAACGTTGTAAATGTATCCGAATATTATAATAAATAAAAACAAGAATACAATTACCGTGACAAAATATTGGCATAAAAAATTTTGTGAATAAATTATTACTTATTTTATTATATTATAGCATAAAGTAAATACGAATCATGTTTGATGATAAATTTATTATATAATTGAGAAGCGCTTAAAATAAATCAAATATTAACGGAATAGTCAAAATAAATCATCTAAATTTTTTGATCATAATAATTCATAATAATTCATAATACATAATGGATTTTATAATCATGTCTGACGTGAAGGTAAAAAAACTAAAACAGAATCAGCGGTAATGTGATGTGATCAAGACACTTAGCTGAATATCACAATTCTGCTCCACGCTCAACAATTAGTAAATTCGTAACGTGAATTGATGAGGTGAACGTAACATTATTAATCTTTTAGATGAGAATAGTTTTCGATACCGGAATGCTAAAATCTTGTAGGTATATCTGGTAGTCCTTTGTGTTTTACCATATAATTATGCATTATAAGTGAGTTAAAATAAGTTTTTTTTTTAAAAAAAAATAAAATCTATCTCTGAAAAGCGATAAAGGCACACATTCCTATTGATATTGGCATGTAACGTTAGTATCGAATGTTGTGAAATTTCAAATTTAGATATTAATGTGAACGCCTTATAAATACCTTCTAAAATCCATTATCGTTTGCCCAATCTACATAATTCAACTTACAAAATTAATAACTCCTATAATGATAATAAATAAACTACAATAATAAATAGTTTTGATAGGGGAAAAAAGATATCGATCGAAGACCGATATCTCTCATTCAATAGCCCTTTCAATTCCGGTCGGTTACATTTTTCGGTCATGCACAAAATAAACCATTCTATTAGTGAAACGCGCTCGACCGAAAAAAACGCAAAAATTTTATGGGTCAAAAGTTCGGATATTTCATGTGTTACACAAAAATCAGACAAATCAAAATTAAACAAAACCGACCGAAGAATGCAACCGACCGGAATTGAACAGGGCTAATAAATGAATTGTTCAACCATTAGGAATACTGTGATGTGATGACCAATAGGAATTAATGTTACTAATAACGTTTATGTTTCACAAAAATATCGTCATTAAAATCCCGCATATTCCTAATCGACTAAACAACAACATTTTTATTTTATTTTTTATTTTATTTTCAAAGCACTTTCCAGCACTATACTTTGAATATATAGTTTAATTTTCCGTTGAGCTCACTTATTATTTGATTATTAAAGTGTCGTATTAACCTACATCGTAAAATGTAACGAATAATTTGTGCGAACGATTAAAAATTTTATGGAATTTTGAGCAACAGAAAAAACCAAAACAAATTTGAAATCACATGATATTTATTTCCTGTTATGACTGTTACGTTGTAACGAATGTAACGATTGTAATATTGTGTAAGGGTGAATAGCAGACTGCGGTGGCTTAGAAATTGATCTGCAGTAGTAACTAATTAAATTATAGCGTGGTGATACGTGTCATCACTTACTAGTACTACAAATATATAAGCGTATTGAGCGAAATGCATGAAAAAAAAAAATTTTTTCTATTTCCCTTAGAGTAAAATTATTTTATAATTATTCACGATGTTTAATAATAATATTGAAATACGTACAAATGATGTGACAATATCAAATACTTACAATTTATCACATGAAGAATTAACTCAAATTATTCAAAATTTTGATAAAATTTATATAAAGGAAATAAAACCCACGACTCAAAATATTAATGAAAGTATATATGAAGAGGATTTAAGTATCGTGGTAGATGAATTAATTAATATTACTTTTAAGGATTTAAATGACGGAAGTGAAAATAATTTAAGAAAATATCATATTCTAAATTTTCTTAACAATCACAATATAATATTACAAGAAATTTATAATTGGCTTTTAAATAATCAATATCATTCAAATTCCACTTATCTACTTGGATATTTTAATTATCATGGAATCGTAACTAGTAAAGATAGGCAAGAGGCATTTAAATTATATCAAACTGCAGCAGAATTAGAAAATATCGTAGCTCAATTAGAACTTGCTAATATGTATATATATGGAAAGGGTACCAAAAAAAATTTTGACAAAGCTTTTGAATTGTCTAAAAAGTTGGCAGAAAAAAATAATCCAAATGCAATAAATAGATTAGCATATTGTTATGACTTTGGAATTGGGATAGAAATTAATAAACAAAAAGCGTTTGAATTATACCAAAAAGCTGCAGATTTGGGAAATTCCAATGGAATAAATAACTTGGGAAGTTGTTATGAAGGTGGATTTGGAGCTAATATTAATAAAAAAAAAGCATTTGAATTATATAAAAAGGCAGCAAATATGGGAAATGATTATGCTCAATATAACCTTGCTGTGATGTATGAAAAAGGAAATGATATTAAAAAAGATTTGAATCAAGCGATTTATTGGTATGAAAAATCTGCTAATCAAGGCCATAAATATGCTAAAAAAAAATTAATTAAACTTTTAGAAAAATGTGTTATTTGATTTCTTAAGTCATTATGAAATTTTAATATCTTATTTACTATCTTATATACAATTTTTTACATTATCTCGATTATTACAATTTTGAGTACATACATTTACAATAAATCAAATAAATAAAACATTAAAAAATATATGTATACATAAAACCAAAATTTATTAAATAATATTTCCATTATTTTAACATAAAATAACGAGGGATAAGTTGCTAAAAGAATAAATTATCGATTTTGTTATGTTTCAATACTTTAATGCTTTGAAGTCGTCAATAAAGTTGATATGCCATTCTGATGAAAAAAATTGAATGTTCTTGATGCTTACATTGCTTAAAAAAATTTAGCCCCGTCTTGAAAGATCCAGTTAATAAAATATGCAATTTATTACCTAGTTTAAAGTCACATTACTTTGGTGATTTGACCCTTGATCTGATCATGATGATTTCTGACCATGATTTAAACTTTATGCATCATTTGACATCATATCTTATTAAACTAATCATATTATGAACATAATATAAAAAAAAAAGACAGCTTTTAAGCATATGCTAAAATCTCATAAATTTATTGAATATAATTATAAATAAAGCTAAGTACTAACAAATTAGTATCCTTGACAGTTTTCCTACATGAAAATATATGTAAAAATTTACTATACTATTATTAAGTGTATAGATAATAGGAGGGAAATTATTTTATATAGTTTTATGCCTATATCTTTTAATGTAAGTTTTAGGAGAAATTTTTTATTATAGTTGTTTTGGTCTTTAAAGATTTAATGAAATGTTAAAATATAAATAACTTTAATATTGAACTCAGATAATTATTTAATTGTGACATTTTATACATCATTGTCATTAATTAATTATTGAACTAAAAATTCTGGACATTCGTTTTTTGCGCCAGAACATATGACCGGAATAAACAAATTACCAATAAAATATTGCCAGATTTTTTTTTAAAAAAATTTAATCAGAATTATTGTCATAGATCTATTTTTTTATCGATATTTGATATTGATTCAAATATTTTTTCATTATGTCTTTATTTCTTTAAACGTCAAAGAGTTAATGATAATTTGACTCAAGAAAATGAAAAAAATTCTGAAAATCCACAAGTTACGTTATGATGATAATAGAAATATGAAAATAAATTCGCTTCGGAAGGTGCAGCAAATATTTCAAAAAAATCTGCAGACAAAGTTTAAAATATTCGAATAAAATCTTTGCAAAATCAAATTTTTTCTTCCGATGCAAATGTCGAACATGTTGTTGTAATGCGAGCTGTGTATTTTTTAGCAAAAAGGGATCCGCCTCTCCGACTTTTACCTTCCATTATGGAAATAATGAAAGAATTAGGAACGCCACATATTTCTGATGGTTCAATTACATATACGAACGAGATTTCTGGACGCGAATTTTTAGTAGCAATATCTAAAATTATTGAATATGAAATTTGGGAAGAATTGTCCGATGCTACAGCATTTGGAGTAATGATCGATGAAAGTACAGATATTACAACAACGAAAACATTTGGATATATATATTTCATATGTAACAAAACAAGAGACGCGTTTTTTGTGTCTTGTACCTTTAACTGTATGTGATGCAGAAAGTATTACACAAGTTTTAAAGATTTTATCAAAACTTGCGGCATTTGCCTCAGATGGTGCTTCAGTTATGTTAGGAAAAAATGAGGATGTTGCAGCAGAACTTTCTAGAATATTGAATTTTACAAAGATTAGTTAAAAAAATTTATGGTTATTTTAAAAATTCATGTTCCCATATTTCAAAAATTAAGAGAAATTCAGGATCTTTTGGATTGTCCTATTTTAAAAATAAAGAGATTGTATGAGATACGTTGGCTTGGTATGAAGCTATTAAAAAATATTTGTAATCGATTCCTGCGTTACTTAAAGTTTTTGAAGAAGCAAAGAATGATGGAGGTTGAGAATTATATTAAATTAACATCTTGTAAAATGTTAGCATTTTATATTTTCTTTATATTTTAGAACATGTATCACCGACACTTGAGTAAATTTTTACAGAAAAGAAATTTACGATTTTCGGATATAGATTCAATGATAAAACTACGATTAATTCTATACCTAACAAATGATCAATTTCACAAATTTGGATATAACGTTCGAAAATTTATTGATGAAATTAATCCGTTTGAAAATAATTCAATAGAATATATGGGACATAATCTTTCTTTTACCGAAAAAGATTATGATGATTTTTAATGGATATATGTAACTATTCAACAAGTATTAAGTTTACCATAAATTACATCAGAAATTTGTTGTAACCATGAAGCTATCCATTTAAGTCAGCTTGTATGTGAAGTGGGCTCATTGCTTTATGATGAAAATTTTGGTCTTTGAACTCTCAGATTTTTAAATTAATTGTTGTCTGAGGTTAATATTAAGTCTGTCAGAATTTTCATGTAAGGTGAGATATTATCTCAAAAAAGTATACCAATGAGGTATCCTGATTTTTTATTGATAAGATTCGCAAATCCAGATATCCGGAAAAAAAAATATCCAGATCGATCCAAATCGATCCGGATAGTAGATATGGAGAATGGTAACACAAAATATTCATGTGAGCACGAAATATTTTTACGCTTAATATCTTTGTGGTCTAATAAATAGGCTGAGTCAATAGTAATAATTTGATCTAAAAACATGATGCCTTTTTGTTTTAAACTTTTTAGATGTGCAAATAAAAATTTTGGAATTGATAACAAAATGTGCTATTGGATGAAAATCTCCTTTTACTTTAAAATGGAAGTTAGACAAAAGTGATAGATTATAAAAATGAAAAGAAGTAAATAAAGATTCTATACAAGAAAACAAATGTAATAGTATAACAAAAAGCAAAAAATATTGAATAGGATTATTAGATAACCAAATCTATATCGTGATAATAAAATTAAAAATTTTGATGTATTGGATGTGTATGGGGAGTTGCTTGAGCTACGAAAAGTTAAGCTTGTGCTTTAATTTGATTGTCAAAAATATTAATTATATGCAGGTAAATGATGCTACGAGTTATGGAGTTGTAAATATTTTTTGGTAATTGTGTTGCTTGTTATTAGAAAGTTGAACATAAGATTGAGTTTATTTTAAGGCATTGTGAAGGGTTGAGAAACATATATTGTATTAAGTATTTGATTGTTATGACTTTGATTATGTAGGTTATATGAATTTTTCTTTTTGATGAGAAATGATATGTAATTGACCATCTTATTAACTTTTGTAATAGTGGTTTGTTGGAATAATTAGCGCTAATATAAACTCATAAGATCCTAGTTGCCTTTCCCAAAGGGAGCATGTCAATATCAATGGAGTTTATGCTAAATTTGGTCATATTTTGTTGTTCATTAAGAACATGGTTTGGTTTTTTGTTTGTTGATTTTGATGTTTGCTAGTTGGTAAAAATCATCATTTATGGATAAATTATGCTCTGAGTTATGGGATATTATCTGTGATCCAAGTAGTGTCATCTAAGTATCCTTGTAATTTGTATTCTAGTTTTAATTGGTAAATGTCAATGGAATCAGCAGATGGTATATAAGTAGGTAATGAGGCTGTATAAGATATACCTGGGTGTGGTGAGTTATTAATGGCTTCAAACATTGGGTCATAATAAATGACCCAGAGTAAAGGACATATGGATTCTTCTTGGTCAATTCCTGTAATAATGTTCAATGGTCCACCTATACCTTTGATTTCTGTTCAGATTCACTTATTTTTTCTAATGCTATGCGTACCACATGATTCACTAAATTTCTGACATCATTATATGAAGCTAAAGCATTATTACTTACTGTACTGAACCTGTACTAATGTTATTATCTCACCTAAAGTATTCTGTTTATAAGTAGATTTGAAAAATAAAACTAAACTATTTTTCTATAACATCTCTTTGCTTTAATTACATCAACTTTTTAAGCCCAATCCTCTAATTTCTTCAATGTCTGTCCATTTCAATATAATACGTTTAAATCAGGTAATTAAGGTGTACATTAATACAATTAATATTTCGTAACCAATTTTTTTATATTTTTGTATTGTAATGGTATTTTTCACCAAACAATGAAAAAGCTGATAATAAAGATGACAATGATGAAAAAATTTACGAAGATAACGAAAGTGATTAAACTACAAATGAGAATTTTGTATTTGTCATGATTGATTTGTAAATTAGCCACTATAAAAGCTCAATATCTCTTGGTTGTTATCTCCATTTCTTATAAAGTGTTAATTCAATTTAATAAATTTAATTTCAAATAAGAACCACTAGTATGTTTGGGATCATTATCCTGTTGGAAAATGATCTCATCATTAACTAATTCATCTATTGGATTGTTCTTAATGTATATTAATTTGGATGAAATTTTTAGAGTGGAAGAATGCAACTGATATTGTACTTTTAATGTTATAATATATCACTATTTCATGTTTTCTATTCATATAAGTAGTGCATAATATATTAGATGGTAGATTTTTATAGTTACAATAACCCAAATTGTTTTGGAAAAATGTCATATATTGGGTTCTATCTCCATTTTCTGATGATAAGTTTCACGAAAAGTGTAATGTTTATCTCTCAAGTTTATAAATTGTAATTGAAGATTTATCATGGTGATGCACATTATGACTTCACTTTGTATCTTCTTCTTTTGCAATGTATATTTATTGAATTATTCATTAAATCATATTTTAAACAATTTTTGCTACCATCCGTTATAAATTTTGATTAATCTTAATATTATTTAATATAAATATTTGTCAAATATGTATTTTTTGCAAATTTTGACCATAAATACTACTGGTGATTTTATTTGAATTATAATTTTTATGTTTAATTCTGAAAGATATATTCGGAAGGGTATTTATTCTATGTAAAGTGATCCCCTTCACATCTTAAACTAGAACATCCTGATGAATCCTTATATAACTTAAAATCATCATCATTCAATTTTCTCGCATTCCCTTACTTAGGTGAATAATGTTTTGATTGATGTTCTTGAAATTGTAGGCTTTATATTATTAAGAAAAAGAAATAATAAGTTATATTCACTCTGCACTATGTATTAATTTTGTGAATATAGTCTGATTTGAAAGTTGTTAGGATGGATATAAACTTTTAATAAGATCAATAAAAAATGGATTTGATACAGTCTTAAATGGGATACCACAACATATGAAAATCTAGTAAGAGCATGATTACATTATTGTGCTTTAGCATTATCAATTTCCACAGCAGGTTCAAATTTTGACGTTATTTTTGTTCGTACTGATGACATGACATTAGTTTTAGGCCATATTTTTTGAGTGTATTGGCTATTGATGGATTTGCTGTAAGACTATTTGAAAAATCCATCAATAATATATAATTTTTAAATAATATTATCTTACTTGAACCCTTGATTTAGTAAAAACAAGCTATTGCTTGTGTGATCATATATTACTTTCAGAGTTTATTTTTATTTTGAATTTTTTTGTGTTCTCAAACTAAAATAAATAAAAACTAAGTATATTAAAAATGCAGATATTTTCTTTTAAAGCAAAACAACTTTCCTCTATTATTATTGTTATAACTATATTTACTATATAATTATTAATAAAGTTGTTTCATCTCTTAGATTTTTATGGTAATTCATTATTGCATATGCTTTATAAATTATTATTATGCATTGTGTTTGCTTCTTTTGACAATTCAATCTACTAATTACTTCAAACTCACTATTGGTTGAGTAGTCACTTTTGGTGTCACTATTGTCGCTTAATTGCAGTTTGCATAATTTTCTTTTCCCCTTATTTGATGATTTTTTTTGAGCTACTTCAACGTTATCACTATTATTGTCATCTGCATCACCCGTATCACTATTGGTCTGAGGACTGTTAGATTATTCAGGCTATTTGTACTATAAGTCTATAAGTTACAATGATTGATAGTAAAAGTGGTAAAAATAATTTTCTATATGCAATTCTAAAATGGTTATAGCAATCAAGCATAGCATTATATGACTTGAGATATGTCATTCTTTAAACAAAAAGTAAAATAATGGAAAATTAAATAATTTATTCATCAATAGTACTTCATAATGCTAATACTTTAGCTTTTATTTCCATTATTGATATTGCATTTTGAAGTTTAAAATTTGCTGTAACTATGCCTATCTCAATAGAAGGATTAGACCACCTTTCTTATTTTGGAATTATGAACTATTAATAATTGCGTTAATGGTTGTTTTATGAAACTAATCCCTTCTCTGAATTCCCATACAGAGCCTCCAATATTTAATGATTCATTAATTTAAAATTTGAATTAAAACAATTTACCTAACATAAATATAGTTTCATACACTTAATTGAGTTTTCTATAATTTGCTGGTAAAGTCAACTTATGAATAAAAAATATTATATCTTTTTAATTTCTTTGCAGTTATACCTATTGGCAATTTTCCATATGATTGTCTATCATGTTAAATGACTATATCATAAATTTTTTTCCAAGGATTTGTTTTTAATGAATAATGAATTAATATTATTGTTGTATCTAACTGATTTAATATTGTTATTGATTGATTGGAACATTGTATTCAACTTGTTTAAGAAAATAAAAGTAATAATATCTATATTAAAGCTAGGAATATTAATTTTTCATCCATCCTTGAGCATCCATTACCATAGTCGCATTCTCATTGCACATTCTTGCTGTTTCACTAAGTTGAGCTTGGGTTTCTTCAAGTTGTACATTTTGAAAAATTTAACCTCTTTGCACAGTTGCATTACCATGACCTTCAAGCCAATGCATTATTCGAAGCCACAACGATCAAAATATACCTCTCAGACCTTCATTTAATTGATCTTTTATATTGATTTCATTTTCTAATTTTGCAATGTGATTTTGAAGTTCGATTATTCTATCAGTAGAATTTCTTTCTTGTATTTCAATAGTGGGATTTTCTATCTGAAGTTGTTTCATATTATCTAACCATTTAAACTCCCCATTCAGTTCCCATGGTTGTTTAATTTCTTAAATGACCAATGATCATATCCTTGTCCTGGGAATAAAATTGTTTTTCTGTTTAAACTTAAATATATAAGGAGATGATCATAGTTATTCTTCTAAAGGTGGTATAGTGTTATCAACCAAATACCCACTTGATGTTTTTTCTCTATATTCAGATATATATAAAATAGTTGAAAATTTGAGTGGGCATTTTTTATGAAGAACAAATATTTATAAAAGTTTTTGTTATAAAATTTTTTTAGAAAAAATTTTCATTAAAAAATTATTTTTCAGGAGAATTCAGGAGAAAAATTTTTTTAGTTTTATCATTTCTATTAAGTTTCTAGTTTGATAATTCAATTTCTAGTAAAGTGAACTCTATCTTAAAAGTTTAATAATATGAGAATTTATATCCAAAATAATCCATTTTCATACTTTTTACTGCTATATATCAGCTGAAAAGATTGGTGAAGACCATCGTCACATTCACTAATTCTATATATGTTTTAATTTCTTTGTAGTTACCAATGTTTTCATATGATGTTAAATACTTAAATGTATAGCACGTTTTGGTAGACCAGAAATTGAGTTATATGATTGTAAAGTTGATTCATTATCCAAACAATTATCTATTGCAACTGAATCCATTTGTAAGTCTTCATGGGGATCATCATTTTCGATATCATCTATTGTGATTACTGAATTATTATTAACATCACTTCGTTTTTGTGTTGGTAATACAAAAGGATCTTTGTATTTGGAAGTGGATGATTTTACTGGTGTGTATCATAAATTTTTGTTTCTAATGGCTAATGAATTGATTTTATTATTATTTCTAACTGATTGGTTGGAGCATTGTACTCTTTATTTCTATATGATCATGGTCATTAGATAGTTATGGTAGATGCACTATAACGGAGAGAGAATCTGTCTCTTTTTATCAATGTATGTTAACACTACATATAGGCCTGTAATTCCAATCGTTGTAAATACTTGATTTTTTCTACCTAAGAATCATTCTAACATTCTCTAAATTATCTGGATTTATGTGATCATTGGTGTATACCGTTGCAGTTCCCAGGACTTATAAGCTGATATTTGTAGGATAATAAAATATTTGTTTAAAATAGCCCATTCCCTTGATGGCTAGAATTTTATAAAATTCTTTTATTTTATCAGGTTTATTGTTCAATATTGATTTCATGATTTGTTAATTTTAGCCTTTTTTGATTGTTAGATTTTGTTCTCATAATCACTTGAAAAGAATATATTTTTCATTTACTATATTTTGACTTATAAGATCATAATAATATATGGAACGTTTAGCATATATATATCATTTATATATAGTATTATCTTATGGAAACGCTGAGTATATTTGATCAAAAGATCTTTGATAGCCCAATCTGCCATCATGGGTGGAATAAGTGGTTAATAATAATCATATATTTTCATATTTAAACTTATTTTATTCATTTATTATATTTCTAAAGAGTGGTTATCAAAATCCATTCTCCAGATATCCTAAAATTTTTCAGAAAAATGATCACGTGTCTGAGTTTCTTCAGAATAAAAACTAGAAAAATGATTATTTATTAGAGTTTTTTTCAGAATTTTTTTTATAGGGATAACATTATATGAGATAATTTTGTAAATCAGGAGAATTTGTTGATTTTATATCTGAATAAATTTTGTGGCTTATTGATTTTGACTGAGAAGTTACATTGTTCATGATGACTTTTAACAAAGCCACATATATACACATATTAGTTTAGGGCTAAGTTAGAAGTGGGCATAGCCACTTGATCTTTAACTTTTATCAATGACAGATCTAGCATTTGGCAAGTTGTAATTTGTTTACAATTATGATTATATGCTTATTAATATTTGATATGCTTTTTGAGAAAAGCCACGAAAGCCACATAAACATATCATGTAATTTTTTTAAATTTCTATTCAGAATGTTGTACTACCACATAGCCATATACAAATTTATTTAGTTTTTGTTAACAATATTCTATGACACAATTATCACATGCTTATCTAAAATGAAAAATTTTAATATGCAATGTTTATTCTTTATACCAAAGAATTACCCTAAAAATAGGGAAGTCTTGAAAGAAAATTGAACTCCGTTGCCTGTCTATTCCAATAAAATGATTATCGGAGAGAGTGGTATAATTGTTGTACACTTAAACGTGAATGAAAGGAAGTGCATTTTCTATTAACAGAAGAATAACTACCAGTTTCAGCATTAATTCTTATCAACAAAACTTTTAATCAGTTGTTTCTTTATTTCGTCCTGTCAATTGTTGTATTTTCAAATATACTTCCGTTTGTTAATAATTTTTTATAGAATAAATTAATTAATAAATTAAAAATAAAAATATTACTTAAAAGTAGTAATTCATATTGTCATAAAACTTTTTATAAATTTTATTTTTACATTACTCTATACCAATGAAATAACAATATTATTAGAAGTTTTTATTTTAATTTTGCAATTTGACAAACGAATATATGCGACCTTTTTATTCAACCCATAATAAATAATTATTTATTTAAATTCCCAAATTAAAATAATTAAAATACCGAGAAATTAAATGATGAGATAAATAAAGGCAGAAAATAATTATGAAGTAAATTAGAAATTAATCAAGCGGGAAATAAAAAAAAAACTCCTGTTTAATGGGAAATTTATTTTTTATTGATATTTACCTAATAATGGCCATATGTATCCTTAAATATACAATATAAACATAAATATAAAATAATCAATAACATAACTGATACTAATCATAATTTACACCAATTATAATTAACACTAATCATAATAACATAACTGATACTAATCATAATACACTAATTATAATTGACACTAATCATAATACATTACAACATTATTGTAAATAATTCACTTATCCATTCAATAACTTTTTTAATGCATTTTGAGCATCTTCATCTCCTTGGTTAGAGGATTTCTCATACCAATAAATTGCTTTATTTTTATCTTTTTCAGTTCCATATCCGTTTTCATACATCCAGGCAAGATTATATTGAGAAGAGCAATTCCCTAAATTAGCTGCCTTTAGAAATAATTCAAAAATTTTTTTATAATCTTTTTCAACAACTAATCCGTCGATATACATTTGAGCAAGATTATATTGTGCTATACAATTACCCAAATCTGCTGCTTTTTGATACAAATTAAAAGCCTGTTGCATATTAACATCAGTTCCAATTCCATTATCATAACAATATCCTAAAAGATTTAATCCACCTGAATATTCTTTTTCTGCCAACTTTTTAGATAATTTAAAAGCATTTTCATAATCTTTATCACCACCCACTCCATCAATACACATATTAGCAAAGTCAAATAATGCTGCATTATTTTCTAATTCTGCTGCTTTTCGATATAATTCAAACGCTTTTTGTATATTAATAGCAATTCCAATACCATAATAATTAAAAAATCCAAGTAAATAAATAGAATTTGAAACTTTTTGATTATTTAAGAGCCAATTATAAATTTCTTGTAAATTTATCCTGTAATTATTAATACAATCAAGTACATGTTTTTTCCTTATTTTTTTACTTTTCCCTTCATTTAATTCCTTAAAATAAAGATCAATCATTTCATCAATTACAATACTTAAATCTTCTTCATATATATTATTATTAATATTTTGAGTCGTAGGTTCTATTTCTTTCATATTCACTTTATTAAAATTTTGACCATGTGATGGATTACAAATATTTGACACCTCTAAATTGCTAATAATATACATTTTAACGTTGTTAGTCATAAAGAAAAACTATAGAAAATTTAAATTTCTATCGACATACGTTTATTTATTTTGTATACGGTAGTACAGGTAACAATACAGTTAATTTAGTTTAGTATTGCAGATCAATTTTTAAGCCACAACCTATGAACACAGTCACCTGACCATATGTTATGTGATTTATTTGATTTGACATTAAGTTAAGAGCTAAAGAACACTAGGAGTCAATCATAGTGCGAAACTAATAACGAGCTAGAATTACAAAATAATTTCAAAATAGAAATAGCTAAATAATATATAATAACTAAACACAAAGAAAATTTTTTAAAAAATTTTGTTTGTACGACTTTACCACGTGATTTTAAAGATATAAATTTAGTTAATTTAATTTCTATCGAAGTTTAACTTCCTATCAAAAGATTAATACACTGTTAAATAAAAATAAGATAAAATAAAGTTAAGTTTAACTTCCTATCAATGAATTTCAAAAGTATTTGAATTTTTAAAAAACATTTTTGATCGTTTGATATATTTTAAAAATACATAAATTTTATAAAAATTAATATCGATAAACCAACCCCATACGTTTTTAAAAATAATTGATTCAATTTTCTGAAATAAATCCAAAGATTTTTAACTTTTTTTTTGCTCTTTTATGTCCTTGTTTAGCAGATTTCTTATACCAATAAATTGCTTTGGTTATATCTTTTTCAACTTGATATCCATTTTCATACATCAAACCAAGATTATATTGAGCAAACCGATTTTCTAAATTTGCTGACTTTTGACATAATTCAAATGTTTTTTGTAAATCAATAACAGTACCAAATCCTTCTTTATAACACCATCCCAAACTATTCAATGCACTTGTATTCCCTAAATATGCTGCTTCCTCATATAAATCAAATGCTTTTTTTTTATTTAAACTAGTTCCAATTCCACAATGGTAACAACACCCTAAGCTATATATTCCATGTGAATTTCCTAAATCCGCTGCATCTTGATATAATTTAAATGCTTTTTCTTTATTAATATCAGTTCCAATTCCATTATAATAACAAAATCCCAATTTTTCTACCGCACTTGGAATATCACTTGCTGCTAAGTTATTAATTAATTCAAAGGCTTTATCATAATTTTTTTCAATACCGCTTCCAAATATATACATAGTAGCAATATCTAATTGGGCTACCATATTTTTTAATTCTGCTGCAGTGTAATATAATTCAAATGCTTTTTGTTCATTAGTATTAGTTATAATTCCATGATAATTGAAAAATCCAAGCAAATAAATAGAATTTGAACTATTTTGATTATTTAAAAGCCAATTATAGATTTCTTGTATGATTATATTATGAATATCAATATAATCAAGAATTTCTTTCTTTCTTACATTATTATCGATTCCTTTATTTAAATTCTTCATATTAAGGTCAATCAATTTATCAACTACAATACCTAAATCTCCTTCATAAATATTTTCATTAATATTTTGAGTTGTAGGTTTAATTTCCTTCATATCTATTTTATTAAAATTTTGAATAATTCGAATCATTTTTTCATGTGATAAATCGTAGGAGTTTGATGTATACATTTTATCTAAATTTTTAGTAACATGGATTTCGGACATTATGAATAATAATAGCGATAGAATGCAGAAAAAAAAAATTGGGAATATTTGTGATTATTTATTTTGTATACAGTAGTACAACTGTACAACCGACGGTCAATTTTTCGCAGATCAATTCCTGCGGTATTTTAATGAATTTTGAGCTGCGTCTAATAAAACTGTTAATCTATTTAAAGTACTTATATTTTCCGCAATTCATAGTTATAATTAGCTTTACAATTATACATACTGTTAAAAAATAAAAATATAAAGAATTTTCAAAAATAAAATAAATAAATAATCAATTTCTATTTTTATTTACATTTAAAATATTTTAAATTAATTTTTTTTTACAATAATTTTTACGATTACAAATATTTTTTCTTTTCTGAAAAAGGAAAAAAAAATATTTAACTAAGAAACATTATTTATTATCAAATCATTATTAATATATTTGAATATGTTTGAAAATTATATATAAATTTTATTATATATCTATTACACTATAACATTTTTTTTTTATGTTTATTGAATTGCTTTGTTAATGATATATTAATAAATCAATACCGCCTTGTTCACGTGATAATTCATTATAAATAATTTAATATAAATAATTTGTTTTATTAAAAATCAAGCTATTAAAATCATTATTGATTCTATAGTGTGATCATGAGAAGTCTATATAATAAAACACTTATCGTCTTATCATATATGTCTTTGGACAATACCCTGCCGTATTCGATTTGGGTTACTTATGTGGACAATCTGAGCCTGTCAAATGGTCCCAATTAAAACCAGTACGTTTTTATTTAAATAATATACAAGAAGTATATAATATTATTTAAATTATATTAATTATATCATTATTGTTTATTAATGTATTAAAGAAAATTTCTTGGTCTGGATGAACTGCACTGTTTATTAACATCAGTAAATTCATTACAAAATTAACCTTAAACTGATATTTTTTTCCAAAGTTTCATTACATTTAAATAATATTTAAGCAAATTACAGTATATTGTTAATTTATTATTGAGTCAACTTTTATGTATAGATTCAAACTATAAAATGTAGAAAATCATTTTAATTACCCTATTATTTATATTTAACCTTTTATGATAAGATACTGCAAATGAGATATTAATAAAATTTGGTATTCTGAGAACATTACGCTTTTTTTGGATTATTGCGGATTGAGTAGTTTGCCTCTTTCTATATCTAAATGGATAAATATAATAATCCTGTATTATTATTAGTGTTCTTTATGGATAAAGTCGAATCAAATTTAATTACATTTGAATTTTGAATTGATTGAATTGAATCAAAAAATCTAGATTCAAATTATAATTAAATTTGGATTCAATTTGTATTTGATTTTAATAAATTACATTTTGGAATTAAAGTTAGAAAGATGACGTTAACAGGATCTTATTTTCTCAAGTCACGTACAAAAGTTTTCAAGAAACAAAGTGGTAGTGTGACACTGGATTATTAGATAGTACTGACAACAAGGGTCGTCGGGTCTTTTCTGTTGTTTAACACGCGTAAGCGTATAGAATACAACTATTCTGGGATTAGATTCATAGGTTCGCTACTACCTTTATAGCACTAGGTTGAGGGTTGAAATATACCCTTCATGTTGTTGTTTTGTTGTTGTATTTAAATAGATGCCTTTATTGATATGATGTATTTTTTTACGTCTATGTTTTTGGAAATTTCCGCAATACTAGTAAAGGTTAAATTTTTTTTTAAAAAAAAAAATTCAGTCACAACATCATAAACTAGTAAAGAATACAAATAATGTTGATATATTATTATTATTTATGAATTGAATGAAAGACTAATAATGAAAACATAATTATTTACAAGTATTCAGGATTAAATAAATTCAAAAATCTTGATGATAATTAAAATAATATTTGCTTGATAATAATAAGCACAATATATATATATATATAATAGTATATACAAATGCGATTATATAACAATTTTTAGTTTGACATAACATGATTATTTAATTTTATTCGCCAACAATTTCAAATAATACAATACTTTGAATACTTTGGTACTAGAACTAAAAAACTAAAGCTCGCTCAATTTTTTAAAAGTTGTTTCAATTTATCTTGAGAATATACAGAATAAACAATTCCTTGTTCAGAAGATTTTTTATACCAATAAATTGCTTGATCTATATTTTTTTCGGTTCCATGTCCATATTCATACCTCCGAGCAAGAATTATTTGAGCTAATTCATATCCAGAATTTGCTGCCTTTTGAAATAATTCAAATGCTTTTGTATAATCTAAGTCAATTACTTCTCCCTTTACGTAACAACGTCCTAAATTATAGATGCCTTTTATATCTCCTAATTCTGCCGCTTTTTGATATAGTTTGAATGCTTTTTGTTTATTAACACTAGTTCCAATTCCAGAATTATAACAATCTGCTAACATGTTTATTCCACATGAATATTTTTTTTCTGATAATTCTTCAGATAATTCAAAACCTTTTTTATTATTTTTATTATAATCTATATTAATTTCTTTCCCATATAAATACATCTGAGCAAGTTCAAATTTAACTAACGTATTTCCCAATTCCGTCGCTTTTTGATATAATTTAAATGCCTCCCATTTATTTTCATTGGTTATAATTCCATGATATTTAAAATATCCAAGTAAATAAATAGAATTTGAAGTAGTTTTATCATTTAGTAATTTATAATAAATATCTTGTAGATTAATCTTGTAACTATTAAAATAATTAAGAACAAACTTTTTTCTTGCGCTTATATTTTTTCCATTATTTATTTCCTGAAAATGAAGATTAATCAAATCATCAATCATAATATTTAAATCATCATCAATATATTTATTAATATATTGGGTTGTAGGTTCTATTTCCAATATATTTACTTTAAAAAAATTTTGAATTAATTGTTGTTTATTTGATAATTTAGAAGAATTATTATCTGTATTATCAGGCATTGTAAACAATAATTTTACATGTGAACGGATTGAAAGTTTACGAAATACAGCATATTTATATATTTTGATGTAGTACTGCAGTACTATAAGTGGAAATTAAATTTTTGTCATCATGATATTCGATATACAAAAATTGACCACATAATGATTCTATGGATGAGTAATTATATAAACATCACTGTTTTAGTAAGCATTGTTTCAACTAAATACAAAAAAAAAAAAAAATAAACCGTTTATTCGTTTGCAACTCTCATAAAGAAATCCGGAAACAAATGAATAAATTACTGATCAAACGCACACTTAGTCAATCTGTTTGAAAAAACTAGTTACAATTTGAATTCTATTTATAATGTACACTTAATTTTCATCTTTATTTATTTGTGTAATTAGTAATTTAGAAATTTACATAATTTACATTTAATATCTTAAAACATCCCCATTATTTTTATATGAAAAAAAATAAAAAATAAATAGTGAATAAAATAGATAACTAAAAGTTTCATCACTGCAGTACATTATTTTTTAGGCGCTTTCAAAATTCGAGTGATAACTGCTCTATCATTTTTGGTTGCGAGCAAAGTAAGAATTATTCAAAAAAGTTCAATATAACTAATTTTTATATTATTGTTTTAGCTCCTTAATGTGCAAGTCCCATTTTTTTTTAATGTCAACTCCTAAGTCGCAATTTGGAACAGTGTGGACAATTGTCAGAGAAATGATAATCGGATGCGAGTGTAAGTGTGTAACAAATGAATATCTTACAGTATATTGACCATGTCACCATCACAAAATTCAGCTGCAGCTATTCTAGAATTATGAAAAGATATTTCGATGTGAACGGAAAATATGAAACCATATTCGAACGGCATTATTGGAGAACTTAATAAACTTAACGTTAATAACAGCACAAAATAATAATCAAAGAAATCAAGATAAAATTATAAAAATAAAACCGTTCCTTTTCCAGATGTTTAATATGTAATTTATTTCTTTGATTTCTTTGAAAGTTTTTTAATCCTTCTGGAGGATTATTTAATACCGAGCTTTACAAAATATGCAATGATAAGGGAACGCGGAATGATGGAAGAAGTGTGGGAGAGGTTTTATTTAAACGTAAGGAAAATAATTTGGTTAACAAGATGCGATAAAATTAATGAGATAGAAAAAAGCAAAGGATAACAAAATTAGATAAGAAACGCAAACGTCAAATTTTATCATCTGCTAGTGACGAAGAGGGACTAAGACACAAAAAATAGAAAATCAAAGAAAAAATATGAAAATAATTAATAAAAGAATAAAAAAAGAAATTATAATGGAAAATATGGTTGGTAATAGCTTACTCATTAATAGACCTTATCAAGGTACATGGGATTTTGTCCATAGACCGGAATTGTATAATTTATAGTATTCATTAATATTAGATTAACAATAGCATATTAGTATAGTTTAGTATAGTTTAAGTATTAATTTTTATTAGTATTTCCATAAATAATATGGAGTTAGTAGATAGTATTTATACGAGTATATAGTAAATTAGTACTGTACAGTAATACAAATTAGTACGGACGCGTACTCAAACGGACCTTTAAAAATAAATTTATACTAATATTTTACATTGTAACATCATGTGATCAAATTTTTGAGATAAATATGTTGTACACAATATTTGAGTAATATAATAATTGTGTAATGATCAATCTGATTAATTTATAAATTTGTAATATAATGATTTTAACGTTCTGTCATCGTAAAATAATTTTTTCTGACTAGGACATAAAATTATAAGTTTAGCAGAAAAATCAAAAATATTCGAGGAATATACAACCCTAAACGATAATTTTAAACAAAGATTGGAGAACGAAAATCGCTACCAAGACGAAAAGAAGACCGGAGAGAAGAGACCAATACTAGAATCGCCGAGTAAATGGAGTGACATAGAAGACGAAGAAGAGAGAAACAAAGCTTTCACAGCAATGTATAAGGAACAAAGGCAACGAGAGCAACTTTTACCCTCTTCGCCTTCAGAAACATATGGATGTAGCGAAGAAATAGAAGGAGATGAAGAAAAAGAAGACGGAATTACCAAAACATCACCATCAAAGAAACAAAGCGGCATAAAGAAGAAGAAAAAGGGAAACAAGAAGAAATAAACGAAACGAAGGAGAAGTAAGAAGAGGGCGGAACTATACTTCTAATCGAAGTCACGTGATTCACGTAAAAAATTTTTTCCGATAAAAAAGAAAATCGAATATAGCTCCTTCCATCTTGTAGAATGTAGGATAGAATACTAACTTTTTTTTTGTAGGATAAGGAAGATTTGGTGGAATAAAACAAGTTGAGTGTGGGTACATTGGGACCCTCCTTGGGAACTGCCATATAGGCAGACTCGACTTTATTACATATTTCATCCTTTTTTCCTACACATTAAATTAGATCATAAATAGTTAGGTTTCGATAAATAGATAGTTTGCTATTATTTTGTATACCGGTATAGTATTTATTTTATATTATTTTTTGTAATGTATCTTATAGTTATAGTTCGATAAATACTCTGTTATAGGGTTGACACGTGATTGTCACGGCCGGCTCTAGGTATCTTTACTATTAGAGTAGTATATATTTTATGTCAAATTCTAATAAAGATGCGTTACAGTTTAAAAAAAAAAAAAAAAAAATCTCTTTTAATTTTTTACTTCTTTGAAGAAGAAAAATAATTGGAAATATGGATATTTATAATATATCCGATGTTGAAGATTATCCATTTGAGCTAGTAAATCCTGAATTTGAACAGGTTTTTATATTAAAAAATAATTATGTATTATGACTTTTTTAAAGTATTTCTTGTACTAATTTTTTTGTAAATGCTAAATATGGTTGTCTAATTTATATAAAAATAAAATATGATAAAGAATTGAAAAAATCGAATATAAATAAACCAATAAAATTTAGTTTTAATGGTCAGTTTTATTATTATGGATCTGAATATTTTAAAGGAATGAAAATTTATTAGCTTATCTTCAAAGAATTTTTTTAATTTTATAATTTAACATTCAATTTTATAATTAGTAAGATATTTTGTTAAAAACAATATTCGAAGTTCAAAAATACAAAAATGCAAAGTCGTGAAAACTCTAATTAGTACAAAAATTTCAAAACTTTCGTACGTATTAGTATAAAAAAATTGATTAGCTGTAAATGTACGTACGAACAAAAAAAATACACATACGTACTAATTGGTTTAATTTATAAATTATACAATACAATAAAAGAATGCGTGTCACTAACAAAAAAAAAAAAAAAAAAAAAAAAAAAAAAAAGTTTTTTAATCCTTCTAGAACATGCTCATTTCTTTTTCCATAAATTTTATTCTAATAAACCAAATCTTTAATTTGCCTTATATTCTTTTATAATATATTTAACATAAGCAATTTGCAAAATTTAATAAGTAAGATATACGATTTAAATTGACATGAAATTATTTTATAATTGTTGATATAATCAAGATTTGTTTTTTTTTCTTTACTTGTATTATTCTCTTTATTATACATCATTCTATCATAGTGGTGCTTAAATCAACAAATGATCAGCGCACATTTACGTATCTTAATTCTGGTCGGAGACTATAATGCCAGTAGATGATTTAAGGTGTCACAAAACTCTAGCAGAGTCTGGCTGGAATTATCCAAAAAAAGTAATGATCTACAATCCATTTTGCGCAAACTCAACTTCCTAAGTAAAACTTACAACAACTTTAGAATACTTTATTTATTAGGAATTTGACTTTTATGCGGGATGCATAAATTGCATCCCATGCATAGTAATTCTGATATACATGGGTATTTAAATTATTTAATAAATACATCATAATTGTCTCATGCGCAGCTTTTTTTGATACGCGTCTAAATTTAGACTTTTTTATTTCACATGATCACGTGTTTAAATTATATTATACTTTTTTTTCC